ATAGAAGCATATGCGTGCTTGAGGTGTTCGATGAGCAGGCGGAGATGCTTTGCATGTGCCGAGTCATGGTCTGAACTATTGTCTATGTTCTCCGCACATCTGTCGAGCTCTGGGAGGAAATGGAAAAGGACTTTTTGCTCAATCTAAATCCACGTCAGCACTGTCGTTGGAAATAAGACTCTGTCTCAATTACCGATGGCTTGTCCTCCGTTAGGCTAATAGCTTTGATGTCGTGCAACGACGTACGCAGGGTATCGCGTAGGCCTTCTGATTTGACGTCTATGTAGGATGTCACCTCCTTGGAATTCCGGTCTAATAAAATTATTAGTATGATTCGATCCCCTGCGCGAGGACATTACGTACCAACACGTTCACGGACAATGAATGCATATTCAGCATAGTCATCCAGACCACTGTTGGTCTCCACCGACTCTGCTATCTTGTATTTGCATGCTTCTTTGTCCCAACTTCACGCATGTCAGCCAGTTTCTAAAAAGGAATGAGAAGTGAAGTTGGTGACTCATACGTTTCCACGACTGTCTTGAATTGGGATGTCGAGGCCCACTTTTCAAACGATTTAAAATCGTCCGGGGTAGTACAGATTGAATGTTTGGGATCAAAACCACCGGAACCAGGAAGCCTTTCTTGTTCCTCGCTCACAGAATTAGACTGAGTAGGCTCCGTTGCCATGGAAAGTTCAGCTGAAGCACACTCCAGCACCTGCTGAACCATGTCGGGACCTGGTGGGGATAGGTCCTCGGAGGCAGGAGTGTTTGGAGGTTCTCGGTTGGTAAGATCGAGCACCTTTTCAAGAAACACACCAAAGAGATACTTCAGATCCTTCACGATAGCTTGAGACGTAACTGTCCCCTTCGTTGGGCTATCTGGGGGCGTCAATCCGTCGTGACAGGGAGAAGGCTTCTTCAATTCCATGTTGTGCTCGGAAGGTAAAATTGGGCAATTCTGAGAAGGTGCCATGATGTTTGATCCAGCTGATGGAATTCTTTTTGGTACAATGGAGGGGAAATGTTGAATCTGCAGGGCAAATCCAGATGAGTATACTGTTAAAGAAATCCAAGAATGAGGGAGGTTGCTCTCATTTATAACCCCCTCTGCAATCCCTGACCCCTGGTCTCAACAAAAAAAGTACGTCTACAGATGGAATGAATGGACCGGACCATGCACGGTCCTGGGAGTATTGAACTGCCGTCTAAGACAGTGTTAAGCCATCTAATGTGATTCTCTTTGGCATGCAATTTAGGAGCCATCCATCGTTTAGGTACAACAGATCTGCGTAATGCTACTTTGGAGAATTATGCCTTCCAAATTGTGTTATGAGATGAGAAACATTGTCGAATTCTTATCGATTTTTCGACGAAATTTCGATGAATTTGCGTAGGTCAGTCTGCACAGATATTCATCCTCGATTGTATTTATTTCCCTCAGATGAAGTAACAGAGGTGCTTGGAGAGATTAGCCTAAGAGTTCGACCATTATTGTTTTTATTACATTGACCTTGAATATGGCGAAAATTTTCTGGTCTCTTTCAGTAGTTCGCTTCGCTGCTTATTAAGGTCTTGCTTGATGCCAAGTGCCTAATCTTCGGGCCAAAGTATCATCACGTGATGATATAAGGCGGGACTTCTTCCTGCCCCTCATCTGCCCACTCGCCGATTTCCCAGCGCTTTACAGTAACTGCTGCCTGACTCGAAAGTGATACGGCCCAAATGAGTGTGGTCATCATCCCCGACTGAAAATTTTTGTCACTTGAGAGAATAACTTGAAAGCAACGTCGTTGGTGATGATCGTTAATTTCTCATCGGATTAACCGGCGACGTAAGTAATGCGTGCTTCCTTCTCGTCTTGTGTTCTTGTAATGGAATCTAATACTGGAAAGCGTTTACTTTGGCAAGTTCGCCGTTTCTACCAGAAAAGCGCACAGAGAGACCGATACTATGGATAAGGCAGCCAAAAAAGTTCGCACCGAAAGCTCAACAGACAGCGGCGTTCTCGAAGAATGCAAGAAAGAAGTGAGGATTATCGGTCATCAAGTGACCACCTAAGAAAAGTGCTAACTACTCCAGGTACAATGTGACTTATGCGATCGAATAAACTGGACAACACCATCAAAAGGTGTTCAGACTACCCCTCCCTTGAGAACGGTTGCAATTGTCGTGGATCTTGTTCAGAACAGAGGCGCAATACGGATTTTCGAGAAAGAAAGCGGGGAATATGTTGACGGAGTTGGTACTGAGGAGGAAGGCTTCCGGATCATCATACCATGGCGAGACACTTGGCGCTTCAGAGCATCGGGCGTCGTTGAAGTGGGATATATAACAGCGAAGGATGGAGATTAATTTGGCGGCTGGTCCCACGTTGCCAAGGGACGGTGTAAGATCAATCGGTCCGTCAGCTCGTTACTGACTGGAATTGTGACAAAGGAAGTTGTGTTCACTCCGTATGTGTCTGTGAGCCATATTACGCCAGATATCTGACCTGATTCTATGATATCTCGAATATCTTGCAAGTTGAGCTCGTAGACATCTCCAGTCAAAGGGACTTCAGTTCCAGTTAGCCAGTTAAAATCCACTTTGTGCTGAGGCCATACCTGTGTCATGCTGTTTCTCGGGCTGAAAAGCAGACAAGTCCGGAGATGGGGCTACTGGAGGTCCTTCACCATGTTAGCCCACTGCATAGCCCATGGGATTAGAAGCCATACTAAAGGTCCTTTGACCAACTTGGTAGCTCCCTTGAACCTGCTCGTGACGCTCGGAGAGATTATGAGACACCGAGACTTGGTCAACCGTTCCACCACCGGCTGGTAAGGGAGGGCGGGAAGCGTCTGAGTAGACACCAAAACTAAAATACTGACGTGCAAGCCGTCGGAGCACAGGGTTGTCAAGGCCAGGGTGCTTTTGGATCTCATATGGAAGGTTAAGTCGTACGCTCTCCTTTGCGATAGCAATTGCTGACAGTCCCAAGCCAATAGCACAAAGAACGACCATCGACTGGCCGTTCAACTGTAGAACTTTGAGAAGGAAGTCGAGATAAGTCGACTGTCGACCAGCTCCAGCAGAGTCCTTAGGTGGGTACCCGTTCCTTAGTAATGTGGCCGCCGCTTGTATTTTTTTCTTTTCTTTTTCTTTCACACCATTCCGACGCTCAACATCTCTTGAAGTCTGGACAAGCTGCTCGAAAGCACTTGTAAGCGACAGAGGCATACTTCAGATCATTGAAGTGAAGGTTTAGTTGAAAAAGAACTTAAAGAGGGTCGATGATATGGCCTGATTACCACAAATCAAAGTAGAAAACTCGAGCTTTCGAAGACGAAAATTAATCGAAAATCAGTCGAAAATCAGTCGAAAATCAGTCGAAAGACTGCCTTATAGTAGCGCTCCCTAATAGAGGGGGTGCATGCGGCACTTTTGCGGGTTGATAAGTGACTGGCCAGCGGGTGCGGGCCCCACCACGCTTAGGAGACAGTGTTGCATGCATAGCTGCGCTCGTTATTGGTTCTTGCTCTCTACCATATCAGCCTGGGCGTGCTGAGGCCCGAAAAAGTGGGGCAGTCAGTGAACTTCTTGCCCGAACAAAAAGACCATGCAGCCTCACGCTACGTGGCCCACCAATCCCAAGGATTGTACAAGTACCCGGTCCACCCCTACATCGATGTAGCCGGCGGTCTAGATTGTGCGCGAGGCGCTAATAAAGCGCTGGCCGTGAGCCGCTCATTCGCTAATGCGTGGTGGTCACCTACACGCCGGGAGCCTCTTATTCCTGTCACAGATATGCCTGCCTTCAATCAATCACAAGTGCATAGAGGCTGGAGCCTTGACGAACAAACCACCGGAACCCCCTTTGGACGTGGTTTTGGACGGAGTTGCATAGATCGAGCGGGGAACCCTGTCTACAAGATATGGCTACGTGACTAGTATATTGCGGCTTGCCTGGATTTCCATTTAGAATAAATAAAAGGCCGCTTATATCTCAGGACTTACCACCTCAACGACTTCAGTTGGTTTTGTATCTTCAATCTCGTATCATATCGTATCCATCGAAATGGCCTCCGTCTCAGTCATCAAACAAGCTGTTGTGCCTGGCTTGCATGTCGCCCCGACTGAGGCTGATCTGAAGCAGTCATCCGTCCTGTATGTTCTGCTACCCGTTTAAAAATTAGCCCTACTAAGAATAACTCCAGGTACAACCAGCTTCCATCTGACGAAGCACAACCACCGCTTCTTCACAATCATTCGCAAGAAATTCGAGAGATTTTGATTCGCCACAATGTCCAGGCCAGAATCGGCATCCATCTAATCCATGGGCATTTCCAGATTCCGAGTGATCAAGTAATGCTTGGACATTATTTTGAGAACCCCACTGGATGCTGGACAAAGCCCGTCCCTATTGAAGAAGTTGACGCCTCTAATATACACGGCCATATTTTCAAGCTTTCCAGGGACGGAGACCTGGTGGCTTATGAGTACCGGGAAGGTCCGCCGGCAGATCTTAGCGAAATTAACACTTCTTTTTTCGAGGAAGTCTTCACGTACCTCCTTGATCACAACCTGACGGACACTTTCGGGCTGCAAGCACTACACCATGGGCCGTCTTCGCCAATGATAGAGCTTGTACTTGGCAATTCTGGAACAGTGATGCTCGATGAGACCCAAGCCCAATATGGAAAGGTCTACAGAACAACTGGATGGTACGTTGGTAATGGGAGCGAGAATAAAGGCTTGGAGGATGGTGAGAAGCATGCTCAGACCACGAAGGGTACTCACAGAGTCTTCGTGGATGAAATTCCTCTTTCTCATATTGGGGAGCTGAAAGGCTTCCTCAAAAAGGAGGAAATCATTCAGTAGCTAGAATGAGCTGTCGTTTTCCGGAGTCCTTTCTGCAGCACGTCCTTGTTTTATTTGCCTTTTTCACGCAAACGTTAACCTATTAACTAAATACATTCATTTCCGGGTTACTCACTGGCCCTCATTTTCAATACTAAAACTGCTGGTATAGGCTGGAACTCTAGGGAGGTTCTAACCCCCCAAGCGATCTAAAAATGCGTCTAAATATCTAATCGAAGAATCTTGCTCATTCGCAGGCCTTTCCACATTCCCATCTTCCCAGGTGAAACCATAACGAAGAACCAATCCTGTCCGTTCCGCGATTTTCATGGCCTTTTTCTCAACATCGGAGATCTTTCCCACCTGGCTATGGAACGTATCCCAGAAAATGCCTTCCAGTCTGGAAGAATTTTCATGGTAATGCCAACCGCTTGAGTTCATAATTCCAAGCATGTTCTGAAATCCCCATAGCGACATTCCAAATGGCAAAATTTTTGCTTCGGCCCAATCAACAATCCCATTGATGCCACCTAATTTGGCATCGACGATAAGATTCATCTCACACAGGTCAGCATGAGTTAGAGCCAACGGATACGTGGGAGCAAAGATTGCAGGAAGTTCTTCGCGAAGCTTGGAGATAACGGCTGTAAATCGGGAAGGGAGCCCGTGCACAAGTATATCAAGCTTGCCTTGAAGATCTTCTAAAGACTGCTCGGAGTGATGAGCCTCCGATAGTCGGTTCAACCATGAATTGGCAAAAAATCTAGCAAGATCAGTTGTGGTCCATAGCATAGCGACATTAAATGTACCTTGAAAAATCCGATACTGTTTTCTCTTGCCATGAAGTGGAATGTAGTGTTGTTAAAGGCACTTCAATGTAGGTTATTCCGGGAACTTTCTTCATGACATAGATAGTGAGCGAAGGCGACGATCCTATGACACCTTTATTGACACAGGAGGGAACAACGTTGCCGAAAATCTTCCGAGCGAGACCCAGCTTTTCTGTATCTAAGAGTGACTCGGGAACACGGAATTGTACCAGAAGCCCCCTAGCTGCTACAGTGTAACTGAACGCTCCCTGAAGCCGAACTGGCTCCACGGCTTCACCCGTAATTTCAACAGCGATTTGGTCACATTGCTCCCGCGTGACGGTGCGGCCAGAAAAAAAGCGATTAATTGTATCCTCAAGCGAATAATAAGACATTCCGACAGGAATGGAAATTTCCTAATAAAATGTGTCAAGAAGTTGGTTGGGGGGAAAAAGCAGGGAGGCAATACTTGGGCCTTAAATAGCGTAGCGGTCAAGTTTGCAAGAGGGTAAGTGCATGGAAGTTAATTACGCATCAGTCACGGTGGACAAACGTACTGACCAATGGCATCGGTAGGATATCATTCACGTGACTAGTTGGCTTAGTCCAGAACCTTTCGAAACTTTGAATGACCGGATAGACTGTCACATAAAAATGGGGCATAATACCGCTAGACCAAAAATGCACCATGGGCAACATTCTTAGTCTAGACGGTCATTTATTGTTCCGACAGAACCGTAATCGATCACGTGGCGCTTAACGATCAGGTCGGGCACTGTGGGGTATACTTTATGCTTCGCGGTTAAAGAAGTTTGCGGTTCCGAATAGCCACGCTTGAACCTCGGTCCTGAAGCAAAGGATATGTGATGCTAGCTACTTAGCCACTATCCGTGCCCTTCGCTACGCTGCGACCAACCCATACGCGGATATGGAGGTTCCAAGCCGAAGAAGAATAAATAGAGTACACATCATAACCCACTAAACAGCACCCATTATTCAGGCTAGAGTCTTAGCAGTGGGGGCCTCCACTTAAAAGATGAATCCCATGGCCAAAATATATATTTCTCCGTATACATGATCAAGACTCCCGAAGTCCGCTCCCAGTCGCGAAGCTCGGAACGGATCTGAAGTTGCAGACGTCCTGATATTCTCACACTCCGCGATAACTCAGCGTGGCTCCTACGCTATATACGTCCTCAGACAATTGAAATCCTCAACTTGGCGTCACTTTTTTAACCCCTGTCCTTCTCCAACTATTCTGAGGAATTTTCCTAACTATTTGCATCTCGCACAATCACTTCGTTCCAGTCTCTCCTCCAACCCTTTTTCATGGGAACATCTCATCATACATCCTGTTCTGAGCTCCCAAGCTCTTATATAGACTAACTCCATTCATTCAAAAGGGGACGCATACGTAATTTGAGTGACCTGGGTTGCTTTCATAATCCTCTAACTATCTCTTCAGAGTATCCACTGTTGCTGCTGTTCCATCAGGGGTTGCTAAGCCCAGGTTTGCAGCCATAGCAACCAGGCCTTAGAGGCCTCGATTCGCCAGTTACTATGCAGCCTACCGTAATATGTAGGTTTCTAGCTATGATTTACCCGAGGAAAGAATGCTCGGTTGAGGGGTGTTGCAAACGAAGGGGTCTAGATATAGGATGGAATTCGAAGCTTTCAGCTGCAGGGGTCGCATCCCGTTTGACTCGTACGCGAGATTGCAACTAACTACTTAGTTAGGGGGTGTATACCACTCTTCTACCTAAATGATAGCCCGTGCCCTGCGACAATTACTCAACATATCAGCCATAAGACCTCCACAGAAGACTCGAATCATCAGGGTCTCTTGTCAAAAGGGCAGAACGAGTGATCGGGTCGGCCGGAAACTACGTTAGCTATTTGCTATAAAAATAATGCTCAACAGAGTTTTTACCATCAGCTCTTGATTGTGCCCCAGACTCAGTCTTCAATACCTTCAATTATTGGGACTGTGATATCGACCAATGTCAGCCCCACAAAACATCGTCGAACGGCGAATCGATAGTTCATGAGTTCTAAACATATTTTGCCCCTATGTAATCATTATTGATGAAACGTAAATGCGCGATAACCGCTCCCATAACTTGTATTTACTGTCAGATAGAATCTCTGGGAACCAGTTAATGCTAGATAGATCTTATAAGAGGTTCTCAATTGGATGTTGAAACTGAGCAGGCCAATCTGTCACGTTAGTCGCGTAGAGTCTCGCGTAAAATGACTGGAGTATGTGTTGACGCTAGACTGTGGCACAGTTTTGGTAATGGTTGACCGCGCCGATCATCAAAGACAGTGTCGATAGATAAGTTCCATAGTGTAAAGGTTGGATTTTATCGTGTGTCATGGGAAATGTTGGCTAGCTCTCCTTGTACCATACACCTGCAGAATTTGACACCTCTCATACCCGGTTGTTCCGCTTGAATGGGGTGCTCAGGACGTGTCCGTCTAATCCCATTTTCCCTACCGTATGGCCGCCTCGGCTCCACTTCCCGGCATTCAGCCTCAGTGAAATAGGGGTAGTTTTGCGGTATTCTTGCTTCCGCGACAAAAATACCACTAATGCAGTCAATGACTCGCCATCACACTTCCAGTTCATACCCATGTCGTTGGTCGATTTGGGGGGAACATAACAAAACGTTGGGGAGGACCCAGCGGAAATCGCCGGAAAAAGTAGCGTATGCTCCGTAGAGCCACACAGGAATACAACTGGCGTCTGCCTGCGTGATGCCCGCAGACCTGCATGGTGGAAGACCCTGTGCTTTCGCGCTTGCACAATGATGCGCTCACGCCGTTCAGGCTATTCAGGTACAAATATGCCGTGAAATATCTCAGTGCCGCCATTGGAATCAAGATAGTCTGGCTCATCCCGAAACCAGCCCTCGCCAACCTGAATCATGTTGGAATTAGAAGCCGAGTCCAGCAGAGCAGAGTCCGGCAGAGCATAATCATTTTAGATCGATGTGGGATTGGCAAACTTCCCTAACTCAGGGACAACATTAGAGTCACTCAAGGCCATTTCAGGCCATCCACACAATCAAGTAGATTGCACAGGAGACAGAATTGTTCTGCGTCCCTGGTGATATGATTAAACGGAGGGTGACGAAGGCGATGGCTTCCGTGAGAGTAGGCATATATATATATATATATATATCCTACAGGGAAATTAAACCACTTGTTTGTTGGACATCATCACAAGTTTTACTTATGTTTTGAGTTCCTGGGAATCCAGATGATCATGGATTCCGAGCGAATTGCTTGGCCTGTTGATTTATTCAAAGACTGTCCCCAGCCGCCCTATCTAAGCAGCTATGCAGCGTTCGACTATAAGTGTAGATACCCCCGTCCTCGCTTTCAGAAAACAAGCCGTTCCTAGCACGAATAACATCCTCTGTCCGCTCGAGTTAGTTACATCCCCCTCGTAGTCTTGGTGACCGTTCTGTTTCTATCCACCTGTTGAACCTTTCCTGGACCTCCCCTGCTTCGACATACCATAAATGACTCTGCTTCGCTATGTGCATTTGAGTACCGCGGACGGCACTGCCCCGAATTGTGCTAGCTGTCTAGTCCTCAAAATTATCTTGGCTGCTTCTACTACCATCTCCCTAGTTGTAGATAATGAGCTTGATGCCAATGCATGGAGCCTTATTTGCCCACATTCAATGACGTTCTTCCATCCAATTCCGGCATTCGAGCAGGATGTGTCGTACCCTCTGTGGTTCATGGCCACACTGATCTTGGTCTGTATCGGCCTCATGGATGGCGTGAAGGCAGGCCCGTAGGCCGATCTTGCCTGTACGCATCTGTGTGGTTGCAGGGCTGATTGCTCCATCTGCCCCAACGTGTGTTCGAGAATCGCTTTCACCGGTCGCACTCCAAGCATAAGGATCTCTCTGCCGTGTTTGCATTTCTCCCAAGTCACGTCCCACTCCTTTCTCATCGCTCAGCAATGGTATTCTTGGCGGTTGCTGTGAGCGTTCGCAGGGAAGGTGGCGGTTCGGCGTTCGCTCTTGCGTTCGGACCAGCCTCTTTACCAGTCACTCCATGATATATTATCTGCTGTTGCAACGACTATCCAACATGAGGATTATAATGGGAAGAAGAATTGATTCTCATATATCACCCCACAGGTCGGGTGCAAGACTTGTAGAAGCACACGCGGCGGGCGACCGTTATGCCTTAGCGATGGCTCAGTGGACGTGACCCAGCAAGGCGTCGTTTGTGGAGGGTAACGAGTCAGGACAAGTTCGGCGCGCTAGATGCTAGATACAAGGGTGGGCCGAGTGAAGAGAGAGAGAAAGTTATCGAGTTGCTCTCCGAATTTGTGATTAACCCTATCCCTCCTCTTCTTCGTCCGCTTCTCAATTCGCGACGAATGTCGACATTTCATGTTAACGGATGGATTGGCCTACTTGAATAGCCTCAATATTTGAGACTGGTTCATGCAGTACACTGTATGATTGTGGAGATTTTGAAAAATTTCCATGAGTTCTGGTGATGGCTTGCGGGTGTTAAGATTTATCAGTCTGAACCGCAAGATGCCAGACCACCGCCGTTTCCAATGAGGAGCTTCACTGTCTGAAGATGGCCTCCCCGGACAGCACCATCGGGTGGAAGAAGCGTGTTCTGAGAGTATCTATTTTGGTTGGCTCTAAAGCGAGAAGTAGAGACAAAGCATCATCATCGCCTCTGGTCGCGGCAACAGACAGAGGCGAATGTCGATGAACTAGGTCGCATCCGTCTGGAACGGCACCAGAGTCGAGGAGAAATTCCATAATTTCCAGGGCCTTGGTTGAAAGTGCCTGGCGTTGAATGATTGCAACAACTAGCGAATTGATATAGCCGCCGAAGCTACTCGCTGCAATTGCCTCTCCTTCCCAGCAAAATAACAATCCTCGTGATGTTGGCCAGGGTAGCTAGTGAAGTTATCGATCGCTTTGATGAGTTGGCGTATGTTGGGAATCTCTTTCATCAGGTCCAGTCTCCCCATGCGAATTGCATGATAAAGAGCTACTGAGCCATCCTGGTGTGAAATGGATACATGTGGGCGTAGGTCGTGGCAGAGACCCCAACACAGATAAGCGATTAAGAAGTGGTAGGTCTCAAACGCACTCAAGTGTGACGTTATTTGAAGAACGATTTCTGGCGGAAATTTGTCCATTATGAACTAAGAAGCAAAAATCCGACAGACTAAGGCTGAATGGAAGGTATGCAGTCCTCAAGATGATGACACACAGGCGAATTAAAGGCGCGGCTTGCCTTTAGGGGGAGTTACGTGAACACTTGAAACGAGGTGACACAGTGCATGCTATCTATCATTTGGTTTGGATCGCTTTTGGACCTTTCAGTCCTGACGTGACAATCCACCACTGTCTCAATCCGGAAAATATTCTTGTCTTGACATCCAAATCGGTGAACCAGAATGCCCACATATCACATCTTGTCGTGAGTCCCGTGATAAGAAAGTGAAGATCTAGCAGCGCTGCTATTGAGGCCTCCGCAAAATTCTGCAATCTTTGCGTTCCCAAGCGCGTCCGGAGTAACGTTGAACCTGCGATTCTCGTATGTTAACCAACGACGGAACTGCATGTCAAATCGATCAGCTTCATTTCTCTCCATCTCTATCAAGAACATATTCGAGCGCTAGAACCAAAGAAAAATGCGACAAACCGTTGCTATTTGCACGCCTAGCCAGAGGCATCTTTCCATGCGAGGGATGGGAATGGTATCCGGTTCAATAACGGGTCTGTCGTCCTCCGAGGGGGCTCCTTCGAAAAATTTGTCGGGGTAGTAGAGCTGGCTCCAGGATTGACCGCGGATAAGGAAATCCTCCGGTAGATGACGCGTCGGCATATCCTCCAGTGGGAAGTTTCTATCTTCGATTTCGTTGAATTTGCTGTCGGGGTCGATCTCAGATTCACGGAGAGCGTTGAGGAAAGCGTCGATAAGAGTGTTGAGGAATCTCCCGATGCTGACCCACGGGATGAATGCGTCGACTGGTTGCATGGCGAGCGGGTGGAGGGCAAGGCACCAGATGAATGATAATGAGATATGTACACTTGGGTATATACTAGGGTCACCTAGTTGGTCGAGCAAGACTGAAAGTGTGTGGAAGGCGAGAGTACTGCCGTGAAAAACCATTGGAGGGAGATGGGCGCTAGGATGTGTTGGCTGGCCCTTTTCTTTGATCTTCACTTTCGAGCCCAAGTCCAAACCCGACGTCCAATTGAGCGCAAGTTCAGAAGCACCTGCAGCCGATGCATCATTTTTATGAGCAAATTCCATCACTATATCGGCATCGACTTCGTCGTCACCGTATTGAAGGATCGACGCGAAATTACACGACATAATGTAAACTCCTGTTTGACCCTGACGACCCAGGTGCCGGGATTCTTGCCGCAAGAGTATCAAGAAGTGATTTGCCAAGGCGACGAATTGATCAGCCGGCCATTTATTGAATAGGGCACTGTGAGTAGCTATAAAAGCAGTGACCATTGTGTGCTGATTCAAATTTTGATCTTGTCCATTATACGGACCGAAGAGAAGGACCACACTCTCTCGCGCATTGGGGAAAGGACGTACACTCACTAGCGCTTTGGTGTAGTGGAAAAGCTGCAGAAGCACGTCTGGACGAGCTAATACTGCAAGATGATGTTGAATACGACCAACTTCAGGGCTGCGATCAGCGTCTTGATTGTACCAGTATCGCGAAACTCCGGCCCAAACCTCCCGGTCTCTCATGTCAGACTCTTCCACAGCCATGCGATATCGTGCTAAATCACCCAGGCACTCGATCCAAGTCTCGCTGAATGCATCGACGCTTTCAAGTAAGAGTGTCATCATCGGGTATGCGAGGTAGATGAAATTCAACATATAATCCAAAGAGCCGGGCAGCTTTTGCCGAAGCAGCTCCAAAAATGAGTGAATGCCATATCTCCACATGCGTGCAGGCATTGCATATTTGTCGGCCAATTCTTTCAACACCTGACTGGCGGACGGGTGTTGGGAGGCCAGAAAAAAATCATGGTGTTCATAAAGTAATGTTCGATGCAGGGATATCATTGCTTGCCATTGTAGGCCAGATAACTCGGCATTGGATTCAGTTTGTTGTTTGTCGACCTCGATGCATTTCTTTTCCACCATCACTAGTCCAGCATAGATCGAGCGCACCTCTTGGATCAACTGATCTTCTGTGATGTCATTGGTCTCTGGCTGCTTGTACATCGGGGGTGGATCCGACGACTGTGACCCCGATGGTGGCTCCAAGGAATGGGATGAATACGTGTCATTGAGATCATCATTGGGTTCATTTTCTGGGCTTTGTTCAGGGGATGGCCCGCCGAGATCCATTGGAACATCACCATCATTATCATCAGCATCATGATCTCTATCCCCCACCCTATGCCCGTCTTCATGCACATCATTTTCACTGTTACCGCCATTACCATTTTTTGTAGCCGTTGTTTGAGGTACCGCGGGGTCTGCATGGTATCTCCACGGTTCTGCTCGCGGCATCTCATGTCTTGTTTGATAAACAGATACTCGAGTGAACTCCGATTCAGTGAGCTGTGCTTTCGACAGTACCCCACTAGTATCATCATAGTTGGTGGGTTGATTCAAGGCAGACGTGGACCGCCCTCGATCCCGCTCTCTTAGCGTGCGTGAACTGTCTCGGCGGCGAACGTTCTTTGCACGGGCAGCGAATTTTGTGCGCGAGGATGCTTTGGACATTCGGGCACCCTGACTACTGGAGGTATCCACAGTACTATCATCGGATAGCATCCCAGTAGAGAGTGGCAGGCTGGCTGATGAGCGCAGGCGAATGGCCGTGGGCACTTCAGCCGACAACTCATCCAAGTGTGCCCGGCTTATGGGACGCCTAGGATGGCAGTTAGTTGGGAGGCCTCGCAATGCCACGGAGGTGACCTTCCTAGGAGATAGATATGGTGAGGACCTGTCTGCACCTCGCCAACCGGGTTTGGGATCCACCCGAGAGGAGCCAGATTTGACTCCGTGGGAGCCTCGCCGTCTTCGAAAGGACGGCCTGTCCATCATATGTCTCTGTGTGACTTGATTATTTTCTTGTTTCAGGACTTTGTGCAGTCGCATCGTCTGACCTGAGAAGTGACTATATTAGCTAATCGGGCTCGCCTAAACCAATTGGGTGTCCGTGCTGGCATTTAACCCTGCAGGTGGGTGTGTATTTCAATCGGAATATGACGGGAAAATCAAAAATGGTCGACTAAGCGTGGCAGTGGCGAGAAGGATGAACATAGAAAGATGCTCGGGTAGAGTCAGGTTGAATGGGAGCTAGACTGACGTTATTGTTGTTGCGATGGTTGGGCTTTCCGTCGCACATCGATGGGGTAAAATGGTGGTTAATGACCCTGGTGCGGCATCTCAGAGTTTATAAAATGATATCGATGGACATTGGAGCCTGTGGTCACCTGGGCGAAGCACCCCGGGTTGTGGGTAGGAAATTATACATATATAAGACGTTAAGAAATCCTGTGGAGAAAACAAAATACCGGTAATAACACCCTTGGCCTGACGACTCAGACGAGCTGTAATTGTCTAGGCCGCAAGGGTGTTGCCAGAGGGTCGTACCCGCTTTCCGGGTTTCTAGGCTTTAGCGCTGGTTGCCTTCTCGACCATCTTAACCCTCCACCCATAGGGTTGATTAACCGTGGATCCTACAACGGTGACCCAGGTGATAGAACTAGTGGAGGTAGCTCATCAAGGCCATTGACCCCACTCCTTGATCTTTTATAATCAATGCCATCAGTCGTAGAACCATTCTTATCCTCATTTTCGCCAGTATGCATTAAGTAAATGAGGCTAGTTGCTCCACAGCCCTCTCTAGCCTTATGATCTGAACTATACGTTGAGATTTAGCTAACTAAAATAGCGTCGCTAGCTGTCCGAGGCCACTAAATTCACTCTCTCGTTGGATGGTGTGACGGTGTCACGTAGACGGATGCGAGATTTGAAGCAATAGAAGAAGTGATTTGGGTGAGAGTTTTGGAATCTATAAAACGACGCGATGTATCCTTACTAGAGACAATACTCTTCGAGGCCTAAGAGCTCAGGCAGTAGGTAACTGGAATGACAGGGTTTAGCAACCTCTCTGGATCGTATTCTTTATTGGCTCAGTCCCAGGGTTAACTTTTAGTGCCAGTTGCCTTTTAGCGGTCCTTCGAGCAGCAGAGTTAAGTCCAAACATACTTGATATCCATCAAATGCGTCTACATTCACTAGAATATGGAAGTAAGCTAAGTCAGGGACAATCCAGCTAAGCTATCAGCCGCACTGACTCCACTACGTGCCCTCTCGGGCTTATTTTGGCATCTGCTGGTGCTCTACGGAGTACAGCCTCCGGGCTGGAGTTTCACCCGGGTTGACATAGATCACACAGGTCTAGACTAGCCGAGCAAGCTTCTGCTAGCTGTATTGGATTTCCCGTATCATATTCGAAGGGGAAACCTGCGGCAGCAATCCTGTACAAGGGCTTTATCCCTGCTAGCTTATTCAATACTTCCACGGGGGATTTCTTGTCATTCGAGCACAGAAGTACGCTTCATCGGCGAACCGGGATGTGGAGAGCGACAATCAGGGGGCTCCTCGACTACCACCTCTCGTATCCGCTCATTTGAACCAAAGGTTACCCGTTCTAACTCTGCACTTGATGGTTTGTCTATTTGCAAGGACCTTGCGGGGCGTACAAGTGATGAAAACCCCCAATGCAGCATTTGACCTATCAAGGCGCCATCCAATGATCCAATTAGGTGCCCATCTCACTAGCCAATTATCTGCGTTTTCCACTTGTCAAAATTTCCAGATGACTTATTTCGGTCAGGTAACCTATCATGGACGTATTTACGGAGCCCATACCATGTATGTATGTATCTCCACCCGCACGTTGCTCCGCCCACACTTGATCGTCCTAGTCTATCCGCAGAGAAAGAATTGAGGCTGAAGCGGATGCAATGAGAAGAACGCGATAAATTACTCAAAATACGTTCTGACAGTAGGAAAGGTCTCAAATCGTAGTGATCTTAATTCTGGACACAAAGTCTTCTTATCATAAATATGAAGCGTTCAATGTCGCCGATTATTTTCGCTTGGCCGCATCTAACATTTCCAAAAGGTTCAACTCTCGAGTTGCAGCTATCCGAAGTTCGGTGTTTGTGTTGGCGAAACGTGTATATTCTTGCGTGTATTAAATATCCCGCTCGATAGTGGCCTTCCCCCCAAAGGCCCTTGGAAGCGGCAATGCTATCAGCGAGAACTAACCACCAGACGCCTCTCAAAGATAATTCCTCCCCTCTCACCAAGCCCGGCCAGGATACAATGGAAAAGCGTATCGTAGCCATTGGGCCGCACTCATGGTAAATGGAGTGATGAAATTATGCATGGAGTCAAATATGGCTGGGCCACACGGGGCGGTCATAGAAGACTGACGGTACCAATACGTTCACTTGGTTTGCTTGTTATGAATGTCCAATTGGGAGGTTGTGACCCTTTACGATCCTATACGGCTCACCAAAATTCTGCATTACGTATGGAGATAGCAACCCACTCATTCGTACACGTATGTAAGACCAGCCCCCGATGCCTAATCATAAGACATACGCCTAGCACTACTGGGCCTGTATGTACCTGCCCAGCATGAATTCTACGCCTACTGGATCGGAAGGGCCTCCTGCAATCAACTGTCTACGCAAAGTACGCGCAACCTTTGAACCGTTGGAGCCGCCTAAAGGCCATGAAATAAGTCTCAAGGCTCTTGTCCGATGAAGTTTCACGGCTGTAGAAGGCCTTGGGGATACTATTGACAAGTTGAATTGGAATGACAACGTTCCCATCCATCAAATACTAAAGTAAACTTTGTTGCCTCGATGTATAGAAACCTCGTCACAGAACTTAATCGCGCTCGACTTTTGTTCAAGATTGGGATTTTGATGATGGTCAAAGGTATTCCAGGCCTGCGAGCAATGCGATTGATCATTGGGCGAGCCGTGCCTGCCTGGATTGAGCTATGACCACCTAGATCACCGGTGAGTCATTCTCACATGGAACTCTCGATAGCAATATGTGGCAAGCACTGCTAACTCATTAAAAAAATTGAATATATATTCCGACGTGGTGAGCGGTGTAATACGAGAACTGTCGTACAGGCCTCTTGGCCCAAAAATATATCTGGACTTTCAAGCCCCACACTCCTAAATTATGACTCGCGATGAAGCATGACAGTAAGTTGATTTCTGGTAATCTGACACGTCATTTCCGTGCGCTGCTGCCTCTACCCGATGCCTTCCTTACCGCCCTTTCTTTGAATGGTATACCCACATAGGTCGGCTCCTAAGCATAACAGGATATCTCACTAGATAAACAAAGGTTTTCTAGTTCCAGCAACCTCTCTGTAGCTATTGTTAGCGTCCTTCTTGCTCGTTTCCTGTACTTCCAAGCCCTTATGATTCAACCAAAAACTGCTGGACCGTTCCGAAGACTTCCAGGCCGCCGCATGCACGAGAAATGTGCCTCCTCTGACTGGCTCTTCCATATGGTTCTCATTCTCAAGGCGCTATAAATCTTGGTATTGTAACTGAACCCCTAATTTAACCCTCAATGACCCGGCTGGGGATTCTCGAATATACCGGAACTCGGAGTTTTCCAGCAGAGATTCAATGAAAGGCTAGACGAAATTCTCCGACACAATACTTCATTAGGCCTAGCGTAGAGCAGAATGCTTGTTTATCTGTTTCCGAATGAAAGCAACCTGCTTCCTTTATCAGATTCGTCAACAACCGTGAATCTACCGGAGCTCGTACCAGAGACATGGAAGGGAGAATATCCGATCGACTCGTGTAGTATCCTGTCAAGAGATTTTCCCAATAGCAGCCCCTCGTCGGCACCCAGCTAAAATACAAACTCGGGTTCCCCTTCCAGGAGTTCTGTCGAGATCGTTTACTTAACCAAGGGGAGCTAGACAACAATTTTGTGAATTCCAGCAGACTTTTCCATCTTTTATCGCAGAATCACATGAAGTACATCTCGGACTCGAGAACAAATCAAGCGCAGGGACTGGAAAATAATCCTTGGGCTATTGTATCAAAAGAAGTACGGCGGACAAGCTTCAATATCAGGAAGAAACTTCCTGTTGTTGATGCGCAGTAGCTCAACGGTGAAGTAATATGTCAGTTGTCTGAAGATCATGCGTTCCGCCTCGCCGCCGAGGATGTGGTATTGAAGATTACAGCCAGGGATGGATTGAGGATAATGGCTTCATCGAGGCTCTGTATCTTTAAGCGGCGGTTGTCGCTCGCTTGTAACAACGATGGAGAGAGGGTGCAGTTGTTGCAAGTACAGGTGAAACCGAAGAATTGTTCCAGAAACCTCTTCCTTGCGCTCGACGGGCCCCCATGATCATATGAAGTTGTGAATTCCGTTCCACTTTAGATAGGTCGGATCGCGTGAATAGTTTCCTGTTCCTTGCTGCTGTTCCAGCTGTTGTGGGCGTTCAGAATGCAGCTGTGGTTGATACGGCTCACAGTTGGGTAGACGCCGGCAACATAAGAACCAGATCCACATGGCAGAGCATTTGTCTTGACGATGCCAGTGAAAGGGTACTTGCCTGGGAAGGTGTTGGGAAGGGATAAGAACTGACGCCGTGACTCCCTTGACAGGGCCTTTAGCTGCGCCGCAAGCAGCAGCTTCAATTCTTCACGTGGCTGGTGTTGGGAAATAAGGGGCGACTTTTCGCAAAGGATGTAGGTACCGCTAGATATATCAGACGAGCCACAATGCCCTTGCTTTTTCAGTGATGTTTTTGATTTTAAAGAGCGGATATCGATTTCGCTGAGCACAATCATTCGGCGAGAACATATATTTAGAGCTTCTATAGAAGGAACTAACTGTCATTCTATTGTATTTTCCACTCGGAAAATATATGGTTATCGTATTCATAGTTTTCTCGCCAGCGATGGACTGTCTTGTAGTTGATATATGTTAGAATAGTACTCAACCTACTGACTGTCCGAAGAAAAGAAGCAAGGAACGGCTGGGGAACACCCAATCCAGGCTCTATGGATACTTGCAGGTGCTGATGTAGTACAAGCGTGAAAGTAAACATGCCTGGCACAGCGGCGGATATAGGAGCTCTTTTTCCCCTTCGCAGAAAGAGAAAAGTCATTTCCGTCGTTGCCACTGCCGTTATCAAGACTGCTCCATATGTCAAGGTTGCTCAGACCGCCCAAGACCATTGACAAAGACATCATTCCATTCCCGTAGGCGTTTTAGGGTCCCCGCGAGTACATAAAACTTGAGAGACCATTCGGCGGCCGGCTTGCAATGTTCCATTGTGTAGAGGCTGGTAGAATCTTTCTGCAACAGTTGCCAAGTGCGCTATGATGCGTGACTGTAGAAGCAGCTACATCTCAGCGTCAAGTAAGACAAGTGCCAGACGGCAGAAATACAAGCTAATGATCGTATACTGCGATTTGGTGTATTGCTGGTGGAAACATTGTTCATCTTGGCATACCTAGCTTCTCAGTGGTCTTTCATCCTGCCCTATCCGTGTCCCTACAGCACCAACAGAGGAGGCGTGCATCATCGATATGAATAAAGCGTTTGCGGGATATAGGCCCCTAGTGACCAGGGCTTCATTCTTGTCACACGGATTCGGTATTCCGAAGCTCCTGACTAAAGCCGTTCCAATGTCATAATCACGTTCTGGTGGTAGGTACGGTGAACCGCTCAACTGCGGAAAGCTTGGCTCGAATATAGATAAACCACGTGGTGAATCCATCGACTTGCTGGTTGGCCGAATGGGACTGGTTGTAACATGACTTCATCACGTAGATTTAGTAGCAACTTGACCGGGTGACTGTGCTAATCTTGAAGCCATATGCTGCTCTGCGGGATAGAAAAGCCGCAGGAGGGCTTGATGGCACAACCCCCACTAATCAGAGGGCAGCTGAAAGATTCGAAGACAAAGCGTCAATATCTGGATCGTGAATGGATAACAGGAGCATGTAATGGCCGTGACGGAATTGGAATATCACTGCTATCATGCTGTCGCTTCGGTTGGAAGGCGTAGAGCAACTTGATTATCACAGACTGAGCTCCGGATGCGGAAATTCTAGAGCCTAACCAGACCAACCGGTATACGTCGTTATCAGTTGAGGAAGCACTTGATCGACGAAATTACGGCTCGCAAGATCATTAAGCAGCACCCAAGCCTTTCCCAGAATCGGATGAGCGCAAATACGATGCTCAATACGATTCTTTGGAGTCTTCATTCTAGATTCGGCGGCGATGTCCATTTCTCGTACTGCTGTTCGTATCGCCTTGGCTGATCTACTTGCTGTTCAATTTCAATCGAACACCAACTAGCAGACAAACAAAAGGGGGTGTAGTGACACCTCAAAAGTGTGTCAGCTTGGAATTGATAATGTGGCTGAAGGTATAGAATTTCAAGTGTTGCTTCTTGGATTTGATGGAATGCCTCCAAGCCGGGATCTTTGAATAATTCTACGATCCGGCATCAAACTTCCATCGTGGTGCCTCTCTGACAGTAAGATAAGCTTGCTGCTGTTCCCACGACCGGAAGTTCTTCACTGACACAATGCATTCTGATGTATCTGAGCACTAACCTCAGTCTGACTGCGGGCTTGATGACCTTCCCGGTGTTACGCTCGGTATCCGATGATTATTTTTGACCCTTCAATGGGATCCGCAACGACGCGAGGAATCAGTGCCCTGGCAAAGTCTACCAATATATCACAGGGATGGTTTCTACGTGGCAACTCCGAATGCGACATGTTGCTCTTGATTCAACCGCTTCCGCAGTGCTGTATACTAAGCAGTGTTAAAGTCATTGAATGATGTGAGGTTTCGTTACACGTATGACGATATAGGGAGGTTGAAAATGTCTCAAAGAAAATAATTTCCTAAGTCGTTCATCTTTAAAAAATCTTTATGCCTTGGGATCGACCCCGCGTGGTGTTATTGGTCGTGGGCAGTAGGCAGGTGATATGAAAACTTGCCCTACCGTGGAAGTAGGTCGAACCGAACCCTTCGTTCGGTAAAATTAGGGTAAGGATGGAGCCCACGAGTTCGTCCAGATGGTGCTATTTTATATATCGGAGTTAGTACGGTCTGATATATGGATGTTTCTCTCTATTCACATGAGGAAATGACAATTGACATGAATAATCGGCCGGCCATGATTCAGTATTGGCTTGCGCTGTGCGGATATTGGCCTGCTTGTCAGTAATGAGCCACAAAGGGCTCGTCAAATAGCATGTGATGGCGGAGAAATCGGTCTTGTGAATTTGCTCCTCAGCGTCGACAACTCTCGGTGGACAACACTCCAGGGGGCAGTACGGTACCGATGCGACACGATGGTTCAGACCTTGCGACAAAATGGGGATTTTGAAAGAATGAAAAATACCCCCAGTTGCTTATGGGCGGCTCCCAATCCATTTTGCTACCTACGGGGCCTGGCTTTAGGACGATGCAGCTCCTATGGAATTTCCATTCAGGTCCGAGATTGGGAAGGGTGGAACATAATGCATACCGCCCCAACACGCAGAATAGAAACTCAAGAGCGCGAGAAGGCTCTCAAAGACATCACAAAGTGCTCGTCGACAATGGCTGCGATTATACCGCTCGAAGCAGTGCAGGAGAAACCCAGTACGAATACGCAAAGTGGTTACTGGCACCACCACAGGCGTTTGGTTCCGGCCACTTCAAGAGGTCACGCGTACTAATAATGCGACGAACCCGAGATTTGAACATGTGGAACATGCAGCATCGGAGCCAATAAGATACATTCTCGGAGGAAGCTACGGTCATCCAATTGTGATCTACGACAATGCATCACGAGGTGACTCCTACATTATTACTTCCGGGAAAAACCAACAATCTTCCTTCAGGCCACCCAGTCAGCCTACCGGGCGATGCCAGCAAAGGGAAGAATCCTCGGGAAATAGTGGATACAACCCCAGAAAACGCCCACGCCAAATCCATAGTTCCTCCCTTCGTGAGGACCGCTTGTCGTGAGCGATGTATCTCATAATTCTTGAACTTAGGACTTGTTGATGTGTACCTTGGCTATATGTTCGATTTGACCGGCACCGGAGAGATCATTTAGTTTTCGAACTGTCTCGTGTAGGGAACTGTCTCGTGTAGGACATCTTGTTTCTCTCGTGTGATTGCACCCTTTTTTCTATTTGCCTGTTTAGCAAATTTCCTGAATGATTCATTTGGCTCTTCCCGCTCGCATTTTCTATATCCCCCGCTTAAAAGAACCGCGAAGAGAAATCATTCGGTGCTAAGTTCGCATTTCCCCCGCTAAGTCACAGATTGATAGGGTGGCAAGACAGAAACGAGTCCGGAATTTCGGGTAGCCGAGTGGAAAGTCCTTGTTGGAGATAGAAAACTTCTTGCGTGCTTTGTGTAAATTAGGAGCATCATCTTCAGTAGGATTTCGCTTACGCGTACGGTTCGCTCAGCAACCAATGGCAATGGCTGCCATCATTTAGAAGAGTTCATTATGGGAGGGGTATATAATACGCAGAATGTTTATCTTCGGCTCAGGTTTTTCGGTAGGCCCGAAGAGGAATTCCTTGCTTCTAGAGCATCAGACGATATATCGTATTTCACTTCAACCATCTCTATCGCTATCACCATTTGTCTGAATATAAACTTCCTTTTGGGGAGCTTGTGATTGTATAAGCACCCATTTCACAAAGGCTTTTCAAGCTTTTTCGTTCGCGGAGGCTATGGCAAGAGGCGCTAGAATAGAAAGAGCAGGACTGGAGGGCGAAAAGGGCCTTGTAGGTTATAGCTCGATTATACTGCTTTTCTTGCTGCCAATTTGCCATTCCTTCGAGACCTCACATGAATTCCTCGACACGCTCACTAGATGTCACCTTGGAGGCACTTTCCTCCCTTTCACTCAGAGGCGAGAGGAACAAACTGGAAACTCTCATACATGACTGTTTCCTCCCAAACATACGAAGCGGCCGACGTATATCTGAATTATCAGCAGATGGCCCATTTCTCCAGGAGGCAAGAGAGATCAGGGGGAGGGTAGGCTGGGATAGGTTTACTAAACTAAATTACTTTACATTGCGGGATATTGAACTGTGCAGCTAGTCTGTTGTTCAACTCAAGTGACTGGGACCATCATTCATGGGTCGAGATGACTGGAAAGTTACCCATATTGACAAGGCTTGAACGAACTTTATGTCTTCTGCTTCATTGCGATTGGAGACAGCGGACGAGAGGGGATCTAAAAACTCAAATCGGCTTGCCGGGACCAATGGGCGAGAAAACATGTCACAGTTTTTGATCGAAAGAAATAAACGCTTGGAGACTTTGTGAACGTCCAAGTGGTTGACCCGAAATACACACGAATGCCTCTCGATGGGCATAGAGTGGTTGCTATGGCGAAGGCGAACCAGAAGCTTACCGACTGATTCAAATTGGCGGCACACAAACACTTGCCACTCGGGAAGCTAATTAAATAGCTGCTCGGGGGGGGGGGGGGGAAGGTGGACAATGTGTGTACATTATGTACCTGGGATTTTGCTTGGGGTTAGCCCCAGAACGCTCGAGTTGGACGAGAGTCATCTCACTAGATAACAGAAGCCATTGGGTAGCAGGTCTCCAGCTTTCGAATACCAAAGCATATAGTTAGAGTATTCGCAGATCATCTGTGGAAATTATGATCTCATTTGCCCGTAACAGAGGATACAGAGACAAAGCTGCACAATGATAATATTCTTGGCTATGGGCAGAACCATGTGCATGACTGTAACAAAACGAGTGCACCTGTGTGCAGAAACAACAGAAGAGTTTCGCT